AATTGCTATTTTAAGTTATTTTTTGCTATTTTTGGTAATATTTCGATTGCACGTTAGGAGATGATTTTTAACCCGATTTGGGCTAGATTTTTTGTAGAATACTTATTTTATTCCATATTTTCGTTTGGCGTGATTTTTGGAATTTTGTCATTTTTGGTAAAATTCGAATTTTGACTATAAAGTCCTGCTTGTGGACTTATTTTGATCATTGCGTGATATAATAAAATTTTCTCTAAACTTCAGAGACGTTTTCTCTGTATTTTTTCGGCGATAAGCGTGTGTTCTTCCTTGTGAATTTGCTAGTAGAACTAGCCTGCAAAATAATCACTATTCTGCCCGGCATCAATTTCACATCTAAATGGCTTTCAAAGTTCCGAGCATAAGTTTAGTGAGGGGAGGCTTGTGATAGGTAGTTCGGAGGCGAGTGAGCCAATTGTCCTCTCTTTAGACGAAATAGGTAGGGTCATCAGGTTGGGAGAGAATATTTAGAGATCGCCCACCCCCTGTAGACACTTTCATTAAGCATGGGGCTTCTGAATATGCTTTAACCATCACCTCAGAAAAACTAGTTAGGTATACAGAGGTCTTTGGGATCCCTAGCAACATAGACCTTATTATTCTTGAGCCAGTGAAAGGGCTTGCTATCCAAAGCCGTGCTGCGTGGCTATAAGAGAAAATTTGCTAAAGCAGGTCTTAGGCTCCCATTCTACCCCTTTTTTAGTTTAGTTTTGCTTTCGTTCCGGCTGGCTCCGACCCAATTCCATCCAAACTTATGGGAACAAATGGTTGGGTCGTGGATGCTAGGAGTCGGGCCAGCCTAGGCATTGATACGCCCTTCAGCATTTTTCATTCTTTGTACTTCCCTAAGAGTGTAGCTGGAGGTGATAAGAGTAAGGGGTGGTACTACTTGACTCTCTGGGAACCCATTCATCCTTTATACTAGATATGCCCAGCTCGGTTAAGGAGTGGAGAAAGTCCTGGTTCTGGTATCGGGAAGGTGGGACACCATGGATGGAGACCCCATGGCTCCTCTTAGAGTTCCAACAACCTACTCCTTTGCCAGTAAGTTCCTTCGCCAGTAAGTTCCTTCGCCTAGTTACTCGTCGTTTCAGTATGAGTTCTTATAGATTAACACTTTCTTTGTTTGTAGGCTCGCTGCTAAAGTGCAAAATTTCTACTGAAGAGTGGGACATTATCAGCCACATCTAATAACAGCCACTCAAGGACCGGAGCTACAAGAAACTAATGGACAAGAACACAATTCATCATACACGGATGACGGCCTCCCGGGGTAAGGCGTTTGCACTTTTGGGTTCCATTCGATGTTCTGCTAGAATGTGCTCCATTCGATGTTCTGCTAGAATGTGCTAACTCATTGATCCTCTTTTAGACGATTTCTTGAAGAAAAAAGCACTTGGGCCGGATTTCGCTACAATTCGACGTAGTGTGGCCGAATCAAAAGCCCTTAGAACTAGTTCGGCTGCCTATAAAAGGCAGGCGAAAAAATTAAACTTGTTAATTAAGAGGCAGTTACCTTCGGAAGATCACGAAGCGGGGGAGGACCCTTCTCTAGTGAAAAAAAGAAGAACTGGCCCATCTGGGGCATCATCTTCCGTTGCCACAGTGGTAAAGCCTCATCCACCCCTCCCATTCCTACCAAGGTGATTATGGTCGTAACTTCTGAAGCTCCAATGGGTGTGGTAATGGAAACCACTCCAGGGCCACCCCGAAAAAGGGTAAAGAATTCTGCAAATCCCCCTCTTCGCAATAATATGGTAGACTTAGGACTCTTCGATGTCGTTCTGGAGATGCTGCCTTCTGAGATTACTTCAGCCGCTCGAACCCACAGCAAGTTTTGAACTGCGGAGTGGTAGACCCACATCGTTTCTTGTGAAGTCAAGGATTTATTAGCGAGTAACAATGCCTATGTGGCTCCCATACTAAGTTTTAGCACAGCGGCGGAGGATCTGGTTCAGACACTTCGCCAGAAAAATGAGGGGTTCAACTAAAGGATGAAGGCCTTGAAGAGATGGGGGGACGAGGTAAAAAAAGGCCAATGGAGAGACAGAAGAGGCTAAGGTGAAGAGGACTGAGGCCGAGGTAAAACTAGATTCTCCTGAGATACAAATAAATTAACTGAAGAATGAACTTCACGAGTTGGTATCCCAAGTGGTTGCACTTACTAAGCGAATAGATCAGTCCAATGAACACAAAAGGATCACCTCTGAGGCCTTGGAGGGGGCCAACAAGAAAAGGGTTGAACTGAGGGTGATAACCAAAGCCTAGAAAGAAGAAATAGAATCTCTAAATGAGGAAGTTAAGATAATAGGCAAAGCATCTATACAGAAATACATCGATAACTTCGACCAAACAAACGAGTATGATGACTTCGCCAACTATTGGGCTTCATGGAACGCCCAACTGATGCTATCTCGCCTGAGGGAGGTCTATCCTGATCGGTATAATTTTTCATGGAAAATGTTGAAAATTTGGTGTCCGTTTGGCTTCGTTTTTTATGAAAATTGTCCATTAAAATGATAATATTTTCTACCATTGAGTCTAAAATTTGTTCCAATTGTCAAAATAAAAATTGAAAAAAAAAATATACAGAATACCATTCGTTTTGCTTTGTTTTACATGTAAGTTGTCAACAAAAGTGAAAAAAAAATTTACCATTGTATTTAGAAT